AGGACCCAAGATACTACCCTGTGGTACACCAAAGCAAGTATTCTCAAAATGACTAGTGTGATCATGCACTTTAATACACTGCTTTCTATTCGTTAGGTATGAATTAAACCACAAAAGTGGTTTGCCTCTAATTCCCAAACCTTCCAATTTTCGCAAGAGTATAGGAATTGACACGGTGTCAAATGCCTTTGTCAAGTCAAGGAACACTCCGACACACGCCTGACCTTCATCGAGGTGAGAACAAATATTATTAGTGAGAGAGCTCACAGCATCTTCAGTGGATTTACCACGGCGAAAGCCAAACTGTGCGTCTGAGAAAGCTCTGTTTGTTTCAAGGTATTTGACTAATCTTTGTTTACGATTTTTTCTAAAAGTTTGGAGAAAGTAACCAACAGAGATATTGGACGGTAATTATTTACTGAATTTTTATCTTCGCCCTTGTGTATAGGAGTAACAGTGGCGATTTTCCATTGATCAGGAAATTCACCGGAAGCAATACTCAAATTGAAGATCGCAGAAAGAGGCTCGTTTATATATTGTCGAACTGTTTTTATCAGAGTATTTGCAAGTCCATCAATACCAGGTGCACTTTTTTCATTAAGTAATTGTATGAAAGAAGAAACTTCGAATGGGTCAGTTGGTTGGAAATAAAAAGAATGAGGAGATGGATATGAAAGTTTCACTCCAGATGCCAGAGAGTCTTGTGTTTCATTTAATAGTGACATAGTTGTATGAGCAAGGTTTTGACCGACAGTTGCGAAAAAGGAATTACAATAATTGAGGGATTCTACTGGATCACTTTTTATTGTAAGTAGATTTTTTGCAGTACTCTTTTTAGTATTTTTATGAATTATTTTATTAATACTATTCCAAAGAGGTTTAGGTTTATTTATATTTTGCTGAATTAATCCACTTTCGTACTCCCTTTTCAAACGTCGCAGTAGGGAATTATAAAAATTTCTATATTTAATATATGTAGACTTCTTTATCGGATTGTCAGGATGTTTACGTGAATCAGAGTGAAGTTTATCTCTGCGTTTGGCACACCTGAGCAACCCTGGGGTCATCCAAGACTCTTTAGTGTATTTAGAGTGACTAACTTTATATGTGTGAGTGTGTTTTTTTACAATCTTCATGAATATATCCGTAAACAATTCAGTGGCCTCATTTACAGAAGTACTATTAAGAATCTCCGTCCAATCCACACAAGCTAACTCTGTCTTTACAGCTTCATAATTAGTTTTTTCTCTTTGTCTTTTATTAGAAGATGGTTTTTGTAAAGAGTTATCCATTCCCAACATGATAGGATTATGGTCGGTAATATCAGCAGAACATATGATGGATTCATAGCTACCATAGTTACGAATGAAAAAATGATCCAGACAGGTTTTGTTATGAGTAGGTTTGTTGACAGCACTTGAAAGTCCCAATTCGGCCATCAAGCACAAATACTCTGAAGATAGTTCATAAGTCTTGGATGTATCAGCTATATCAATGTTTATGTCTCCAGTGATAACTAAACAAGGACCCACAACGAGAGTCTTGAGGTTAGACTCCAAAGAGCTCAGAAATCTATTTGAATTGCTAAAACTTTCAGACGGAGAGCGATAGATGCCAAGTATTGATAAATGTTTGGATATAGCTACCAACAGGGAATTTGCTCCTTCAATATCGATTTCGACTACTTTTGGGGAAAATATGTTGCTAATGTAAATAACTACGCCACCTGCTCTGTTTATATATTTCGATGTTTTGAAGGCTGTGTATCCAATGATGTCCTTGATAATCGAATTTTCATTTAACCAACACTCGGTAAGAATTATAGCATCAAATTTAGTATCCAGCCGAGTAAGGAGTATTAAAAAATTGTCAAGATTTCGCTGTAGACTCCTTATATTAAATGTATGAATTTTGGTATTATACTTTGCGAGTATGGTTTTGCTTTCGTCCGGGGATTTTAAAGTATGGCTTTCTTTTTCTATGGCTTCGTCAATTTCTTGTATGATGTCGTAGGATGCCATATCTATATAAGACACATAGTATAATAAAAGAAGCTGGAAACCTGAGGCCATACTTATGACTGAAATATAATACTTTTGTATTTTTATGTATATAAGAAATTATATCCTGTGGTAGTGCAGTAGAAGTAACGGTACAGTAAGTATACTGTTGTTGTGTGTAAGATTTTTGAATGAGTATTTGAGTGTGAGCTATAACATTACATTTACAATAGCGAATATTGATGAGTAGATAATTAATAATGAAGCTATGGTTACAAATATTATAAAAAATCAGCAAAAGCAAATACATGCAACACAATTCTAGCAATAGTATTACTCTGATAATATTAAATAGTTTCCAATGTAAAAACATAAAGCATACTGAACAAAAGCACAATGATACATATGCGCGACAAGCATTCCGCACAAGCACAGCAGACTTAATAGAGTTTTGCTGTAAACTCATCGGCAGTAGCGATAGCGGTTTCTTTTGCCCGCAGGTTGACTGGGCACTTGCAAAGCAGGTCATCGTAAGAAGCAATATAGACAGCAGGTTTACCTGTACGTTTGCGAACATATATTGAACCATTCCTTGTCCAACAGTATTTGAAATCAGCCTCCTTCGCACGTATTCTGGCATCGCGAAATAACTGTCGATTGGCTCTAGTAAGGCGCTCATTTATAAATATTTTCCGCTCAGGACTATTCAAAACGATGTCCTTACTATTCAAATCACGACGTGATTTGGCGGCCCTCAGAAAGTCCTCTCGTATCGCCTTGCGAGTAAAACGGACTACAAGTGGACGTGGAATTTTATTTTCTTTCCCATCTCCGTTAGTACGGCGAAATCCGGTTCGAGCAACGCTATCTATGTCACCCTCTGTCATGTGTATTCCAATTTTTGAGGCAGTGACTAGAGTCAGATGATAAGGATTTTCATTGTTGACTTCTTCTAGTCCGATAATTTCGACCTCATTACCAAGAGACGATTGCGCTTGAATGTCTAATTGCCGTTGCAACTGCTCAACCGTTTGTTTTAGTTGGTCACATTCCCTTTGACTATCCTCTAGTGACTGTAGACGGGCTTCTGTGTTAGTAAGCTTGTCGACAATATCATCCAAGCGAAGGTGGCAACGAGCCACGGCGGCAACCACTTCCGACAATTCATTTTTAAACTCTGTCATCGTTTCCCGAAGGAGACGCATTTCGTTAACTATTGAATATGTATCATCGTCGTTTGATTGGTCACCGTTTCTACGCGTTGCCTTGCGGATGGTGACGTTACTTGGAGATGCAGTGGAGCGTACCGGGGTCGAGGAGTTATCTCCGCCTCTTTTTGTAATAGCCTTGCAGTCAGGGCAGATCCATAACTTTACTGATTCCAGCGGTAGATTTGTGGCATTAGTACATAGTAAATGAAATTTTTTGTGACAGCGCTCCACTCTGCATATGATGAAATCGTCATCTCGAATTACCTCTGGGCAAGCGGCGCACGTAACGTTGCCTCCGGTCCTCGGCATATTGCAACCTGTACTATGATCGTAGCGACAGGAAAGCGACGAAAGTCGATAATTGTCGCTTGTTACGTGATTTCGTTGTACAGAGCCCAGCGACTTGTCCGCAAGGATGAGTCACGCGTAACTCGCCGGGTCGTGCTTGATGTTTACTTAATTGCACAATGGGTAGTTTGAAATTTAACTGATACTTAATCACTTGTCACGTTAATATCTTGTAAATTATTAGAAATTATATAATTTGTGTTCAAAATAATTAAAGAACGTGTTGTAATTAATGTTTTGATATACGTTTCAACCAAAATATCAAACTTTAGATCACAAAAACTATTTTATAACCAGGAATACAAACAAACGCGTACGTACTATAGGCCGTTCTATGACTCACCCTAAATTGATGCACTCTTCTAATTGGAACACTATCCAACATAATAGGAGGTATATATGTTGGACACCTGGTACCCGCCTTAAAGACCATGTACTCAGTTTTCTTTACATTGTATATCAAACCGTGTGAAATAGCATACGACTCGCACACAGCGAGCAGTTTTCTTAATGCATCAATAATAAGTGTAGAGCGCTATTTGGTAATGAAGGAAGACTGTACAAAAGTCGTCTGCAATGGGTACCTCGATCCCATTCGTGTTTCCTCCGAGTAACTGTGGTTGCATGACTGTTTAATTTTGAACCGTGGTGTGTAGCATATAGAGAATATAATCCCGAGATTCCGAATGATAAAGTCATTACATATGCAGCTGTAATAATTATATATGAATTAAAACAAATAATAAAAAATAACTTTTGACTATAACTAAATAACTGTGACTACAGACGCAAAAAATAAAATTATGCCGATGGTGAAAACCATAAATAAATGTCGTATACAGCATGTTAATTACTTTAACTCATACTTAAAACTAGTGATATTATTTATTAATAGAGCCTCAATTACTTTTTTCTAGTAAAAAAATATATTATCAAAAAACTGAAAACATAAATTTAAATTCTCGAAAAAAAAGAACAACCTGTATCTGTAAGTACAGACAGCACTACACAATACGAAGTATGTACATACATATTATTATATCAAATATAATAACATCTTTCTTTTACACACACACACACACACACACACACACATAGAAAGAGAGAGAACTGTCACTGTGACCAACAGTTTCCACCATTCCATTGTCGCGTAGCTGTCACCCGAAAACATCTCACGTATTTCTGTAGAAATATTTCCCTAATTTTTTGCTAAACACGAAACAAGAACACCTGGGAATTAATAAACGGACTAAATGTATTATACTACGTAAAATATAGGTACATTCGGTTGGGGATTGCAGACTTATGTACATAGTACGTACTGTGGAATGGCAGCCGCTTTGTTTACCAACATGCCTTCTGTGGTAACATATGACCCTTCTATAATCATTTAATTAGCCTTCCCCGTCATTTGATTACGAAGAGACATTTTTATTTTTAATTAGCGTGCGCCCGGGGCTTTCATGTTTAAATCTAAGAAGACATCCTTGGAATTTTTCTGCGTAAAATTCTTATTTTTATAGATGTTGACATTGTAAAAATACTGTTTACAATTATTTTGATATATTTCATGGTATAATAAGTTTTACAATATATTATGGAGAAGGAAATACTGAATGGAAATATAGAATACATATCAAGATATGGAGAGTTTTTGTACGATTTGAAATGAAAAATAAGTTAATAGGTTCTTGGTAAATCACAACAATATTTTTTTGAGACAAGATTAAAAAGAAGATCTTAGATGTTAGAAATACACAAAATGTGTCACAGGCGATACATTTTACTTATTTCATTATACTGTTCATGACTATGGATCATGGTTGGGTAGTCCATTAGCTTGTTCGACGTACAAAAAAAAATATTTTTCCTTATTTTACAATCGTACTAAAATTACAACAAGACGAGAACGGGAATTAACCCTATCGACTGTTTAAAGAATTAATAAAACCGGCGAAGATATTGGAGATAAAAAAATACGAGATCAAATTACAACACTTTCTGTTAGGAATCGCTTTGAAATAAAAGTAATTCATCACGAAGCAGCGACAGATAGAGTGGGAGTAAGTTGAATTAAATGCAATGGGAACATACAGAGAGCACTCACATCTCCCATTATACATGATGTGTATGATAACTGTCGTTTCCGCTTTATTTATGAACACTGAATGATTTAGTGAATACGTTTGCACAATAGGAGTTTATATATTACACAGAAAATGTTCCACGAGTACATTAATCAAATTATATGCAACGCAGCCTCTTTCCTGTTATGAATTAATAATTGAAATATGGATGTTTTATGAGTTTTCATTTTCCCAATTATATGATATGGTCGCTTAGCTCCACACGCTTCACGTTCCATAAAAATAATTGAAGACACGGTGTTTTCAATGGGACATAATAATAATAATATAGCGTGCACAACATTTTAAAATTTCAACGAGCTTTTGGAATTTAATCTTCGTAGAATCTTGTAGATCTCGATTATTAAATTTCTATGATTATGTACATTTTGCATGTCTTGTTATGGAGTATTTTGAAATTGTAATGTTTGTTATTATCCTTATGTAATTTTTGAATGTTGTCATCTAAGCCAGGAGAAATTATAAATTACTGTAACAGCCTTTTTAAATCAGTCTATTAATATTAGAAGAGCACAGCTATTATTAGCATTCAAAGGCCGGTGAGCTTTAATTTTCTATGTAATCATTCAGCGAATAAGAGATTTTACTTAGAAATGTTTCTTTAGAGAAATTAAAATTTAAAGTCATCTAACTGAACTGTTTGTGGAAGCAGTTAGAAGATTAGTTATTAAAGTGGATGAAACAAAAGATGTATGTAAAGAAATGTCTAAATTTGTTCTCAATCATTTAGACACTTCGTTTATTTATTAAAAGATTTAATATGAAAAGAAATAGAACAAATAAATCTAACCTCCAATGAACTTCTGGGTTCCAGATGGAGAGGTAAATTAACAAGTCGATTTCCCATACGTGGGTGACATCCGCAGTTAGTGCCACATAGTCTAGCATGATCATCGTTTTCCTCCTGCACTATACTCCAAGGTGCTTCTGTCTTCGCCGTCACGTACAGAGGACCACTGCCAATGTTCTGTACTTGAAAGCTTTTTCTAACTCTGTAATATATACAATATAACGAGCATGATGATTTATCATCAATTGGCATTTAATGATAAATCACCATTGACTGTAAGAGATCCCTCTATGAGATAAATCCGCCATTGTTAATTAAATCATTTAATATGTCCAATGTAAATTGTGTACAATAAAGATTTTACAATACAATATTTGAACGTCTGCGATTTCAGAGACATTACTAGGTTATTGCCCATTCTTATGGAATGAATGTCATAAGTCATATTGCCAAATTAATTGGTAATATCACTAGCTTTTACTGGTAAACTTTATTATTCCTAATTTTAACCATCTCATCTCCATTAGGAGAGGACACATAAACCGCAAAATAATACTCTGATCGTAAATAAGATTCTATTTTCGAACCTCAGTGGGGCAGTTTACAGAACAAACTTTCCTAATATTCCTCGGGTTCGGTTATCCGGATTATCTTCAAATGTTTTGGTATTTGCTCTCATAACGTATGCTATCATGAGTCACAGGTAATCGAAAACATCTTGTGGTTATTCTGAACAACTTGTTATGATGAATAAAGTGATTGTTCAGCGATTGAAAACAGTCTTCAATTCCTTTATGGGGTACTGTTTATAAAGGAATTGGTTACAATTTTCAATAGACGTATCCTATGTGTTCTTATTCTTGGGGAATAAGGTACCATCCAGTGATGACTTATAGAACTAAAACATGATCCTACACAAATACCCGTGTGTAAAAGCTTCAAATTACTATGCTTGGAGATCCTTTGCATGATAGAATCCGAAACGAGGATAACCGCAAAAGAACCAAAGTAACCGATATAGCCGAAAGGATAAGCAAGCTGAAATGGCAATGGGGAAGAAAGGTTCTTGAATGACGACCCCGTACGAGCAAACACAGTGTAGGATGATATCCCCACTAGAAGGAGTGACGACCTCGAATGCACTGCAGGGAGTTAATGGATACAAGTGGCTCAGGACCGTTCCTTATGGCAGTCTATGGGGGAAGCCTATGTCCAGCAATGGACGGATAATGGCCAAAATTATGATGATGAAGGTGTCATCCTCATATTTAATAATTTATTCCCATCCTCCAAAATAAATTAGAACCATGTATGTACAGCGTAATATAAACTCATGTAAACTACCTTTGTATTAAGTATTTTAAGATCCTTTAAAGATACTTCAAATATATTCAATGCCGATGCCTAAACGTGAAAGACATTTGAGAAAATTTTTTCTGAAATGTATCAATAGGAGAGATAGAAACCAAAATAATAATTTTTAAAAATTTTGTCTGACTATCTGTATGTTTGTTCCGATATCATGCAAAACCTCACTCTGCGTGTTCTATCGCTTATACAACGGATTGTGCTCAGAGGAATTATTCAATATGATGCCTGCGGCCACTTTCTATCATCGTACGGCTCGCCATCGACGGGGAGTTCACCCTCATACCTTACAGCCTAAATGGTCGCGTACAACGCGGTTTCAGAGATGCTTTCTCCCACAAACACTCAGGTTATGGAATGAGCTCCCTGCCGAGGTTTTCCCAAGAGACTACAGCATGGGGTTCTTTAAAAGGGGGTAAAGAGGTTTCTTCAGGGTCGGCAACGCGCGCGTAATACCTCTGGTATTGCAGGTGTTCATAGGCTACGGTAACCGCTTACCATCAGGTGGGCCGTATGCTTGTTTGCCACCTCAGTGGTATAAAAAAAAACTAATATATCAAATTAGATGCGGTTTTCACAATTTCATTTCTGAAGGTCTAACATAATATTTGGTGTATGTATGCAAAAGCAATCATATAATTATTTGTTCCATTGATATTCTTAATCCTGAAAGCCATGCATACGAAATAGAGGGCAATTATAAATATAAATACATAATTCGTCTAATATTCAATAGCAATACCTCATAACATCACTGAAGGGTAAGTCGAGAGCACAAAGTTTCACGCTAACTTCCCGACATGGAAGTCGAAGGTGGCCATCGCGAGCTGCCTGCTTGAGGTGTACCAGCTGCGGTTTTGGATCAGGGCGATACCAATCCTTCCTGATGGATAAAATATACTCATAACTTTTTTTATTTGAAATGGCTACCATGATGGTGGTAGTCCAACAAAAACTGGTAACCGGCACCTACAGATATGGACATCATAGAATGAACTGTTCTGAGACAATTTGTTATTGCTTCATACCCGGTATCATTACTACATTCCAGCCCCACCAACTGGGGTGAAAGGGATTATTAGTAATGGGTTCTAATGAACCCAGTGCTAGCAATATACCCTATCAGGTCGACCTTCACGCGGTTCCCCCTGGAAAGAGTTGTGGCTAACTGACCTGCTTTCATCCTCATTAGTCATCTATCACTGGTGCCCCGCCATTGTATACCGATAGCGCAGACGGGGTTACCATACCATTATCACCCATTAAAAATAAAAACCTAATAGGGTGGGAGGAAAGGGATTGTTAATAATGGAGTTTGACAGCCCCATTGCTAGCAATATGCCCTATTAGGTCGACCTGCACGTAGTTCCCCCAGGAAACCATCGTGGCTAATTCTAGTTGAATTCGTCAGGATGGGCTAATTGACCTGCTTTCATCCTCGCCTATCATCCTTCACTGGTATCCCGCCGGTGTATACCGATAGCGCGGTTGGGGTTACCATTCCATTATCATCCATAAAAAAAACCTAATAGGGTACATTGCTAGCAATGAAATTGCTAATCTCCATTACTAACAATCTCCTCCCATAAACAATGGGATAGCCGAGGACTTTCTTTGCAATCTACTATTTTCTATGTAAGTAACTAGCGGCCCGTCCCGGCTTCGCACGGGTGGACATTTTTACAACATTTTAAAAAGTGGTTATTGTGACATAACGATAATAGTTGGACATATAGTATCGCAAAGTTTTTTGTAGTTGTTGATATTTTCTTCAATATTGTAGAACATACTTTTGTTCTGTCACCAATAGTTTCCGCAGCGCACGCAACGAAAAATATTTTATAGCATTTACACCTTGAGTTATGTAACTAAAGTTTTAGTAAGGATCCCTAATCATATCTAGCAATAAATGTACCCTATGTTACTCAGGGTGAGCTTTGTAATGATGAAAAAATTTTTGAAATAGTCAAAGTAGTTTTTGAGTTTATTCATTCCAAACATACATAAACACACATAAAAATACAAATTTTTCCTCCTTATAATATTAGTGTAGGCTAGATTAATGCACTGTGCAAAAATTTAAAACCAATGTTTTCACAAATGTACCACAATCTGTGAATTTTGAAATTGTTTCTGACAAAATAACATTTACAGTTACCAACATCCGTGTTTTGGAGCCAGAAGCGTATTACATTGGGGATGAAATTTTAATTAATTGCCAGCCGCATAGAATGTGTTTATGCCGTACTGAGTTTGTGCGGGGGCGATTACGTATGCCGGCGATGGTTAGAATATGTACGAGTCATTACGATGCCGTTTATAAAATATTACCATATTATTCGTCACCTTTATTTCATGGGACTTTTTTATAATGTGAATATATGAGTCCTAATAGGTGTTGTTTGTTATACAGTAATGCGAGGACGAGACGTGTTGAAAGAGATGATATAAAATGAATACGACCACGCTACGTCGAAGCAGTTATGTGGAAAAAAATTTTGTGGTAAGAACGATGCCCAAAGAATATCAAATAAACTGAGGGATCACCTGATTGAATGAGGTAATAGATTGTTGTTACTTATAGCCATGAAAAATTTTCTTTTATTTCTTATAACAGCATCACAAATAAACTAGAATGTACTGTAATGTTCATAATACCACAATTATTTTTTTTATACAACTTAGGTTACCACTTTCCAGCAGGTGGGCTGTCAGCTTGTTTGAATAGCAAACAAGCTGACGGCCTGATGGAAAGTGGTAACCGTCTCCTATAGACATGAGCAGTACCATGGACATAACAGAGTATACTGTTTCGCTCATGATACCCCCCATGCGTTGCCATTTCTGACGACTCAGGTGTTACATCTGTACCCAGTAAATTCTCATATCTCGAGACTAAGATGTTATGTATCCGAATCTTATAATTCAAGCAGAAAGACAGCCTTGCAAATGTAGCTGCCTCGCAGAATAACATGAGTGAAACAGAGGTACTCAATCAAAAGGCTTTTGTTTATTTTGTACAAAGTCTCTCTCTGGTGGTGAACGATAGCTACTTAGCTATATTGATTTAGAGCATAAACACAAAATTATCATGTTAATTATATACATATATACCTAGAAGACACAAATTAATGACCAATTAATGAAAAAGAAATTAATTTCCTGACATATTTTACCGAAAATGTCTCGAAAAATATATAATAAAAATCGATGAAAAATAACCATCTTTGAATATCTCTGTACATTCTAATGGTTGTCTAGTAGAGACTGTCTATGGCGTCAATAAAGTTCCAAAAAGTAATAATAAAACATCTATAACAAACAAAATTGATCCATGTTACCTAGAGGTAGAGATAGAGCTAAAGCTAAAGCTCATCACATCATTGGTTAACTGTCCACTGCTGACATAACATATACATACGAAAAAAGATTAATCAAAAATAATTCAGATCCAAAAATGTAATCAAATAAAAAAAAAATTCAAAAAAAAAAACAGATAAATGGTAGACATCCTTCAAGTGAAAGTCGCTTAAAAATTACGTGCAAACATCCCTCCAGAGTATCCTCTAACAATTCAAGTAACCCGGTAGAGAACCCACTCGTATGTTTGCGTCAATATATCCGACGATCATGCACTTACCGAGGCTTGTTTGTCCGCTGAATATCCCACAAAACCTTTTTGCTGCTTATCTAAACTATTCGGGACCCAAATTAAGGCTATAACTATACCTTCAAAATGCGTGGTGTTCACATACTTTATGGAACATGAGTAGAGGTTTTTCCTGTAACTGTGAAGAATCCTTATCTGACTGAGAAAGACGGATATATATTTTTAGGACTATTTCTAAGTGTTTATTTGTTGATCATTCAATTATACTAGTATAACAAAAAAATTCGACTTCAACCATGTTGTGGGTGATCATGGGTGGCGGTGGTCACTTACCATCAGGTGAGTTGCATGCTTTATTGCCCTTTGTGTTATAAAAAATATTATAAAATTAATATTGACCAGTAATACATACATACATATCTGTCACGTCTGTCTCCCATTAGGGTAGGCAGAAACAATGGAACGCCAAATATTTCGATTCAAACAGGCCTCTTTTGCTTTTTCCACATTCATCAATCTTTCGTACACGCTTGCCGGTTATAGGTACTTTGAATTTGACCAGTAATATTAATTTTAGTGGCTATTAGGCCCACACCAGTGACATACATACAACAACATTCGAGTTGTTTCCCATAAGGGCAACAATCAACGAATATCTCTGAATATTCAATTTAGGAGCACATGTAAAACGTGTAACCTTGTAATTACAAGATTTTGCTTCGCACATATATACCTACGCATTTACGTACGCATCTACGCATGCACCCACGCACGCACACATGAACCCACGCACGCACGCATGCACGCATGCACCCACGCACGCACTCATACACCCACGCATCCACAATCACAAACACGCACACACACATACATACACAATTACAATGAATCTCTTGAAATACACATTTACCTAATTTTTACACAGCTGTGTAACGTAATTCGACATTAATATACGAGCACCTGTCGTGAATTCACTCGTCTCTAGCATTTCTCGCACGAGTGAAGTAATACACTGAAGAGAGAAAAAATACTATTTTTTTGAGCAGCTATTATGAAAAAGTACCTAAGTGGAATGTTGACAAAACAAACAAAGACTAAATAATCACTTCAAAGGTAAACAGACTTAAGGAAAGTAATTGTAATTTCCTTAAAGCCTGTTTATGGCAGATACAAGGTAAGTAAAAATATAAATAAGTAAATACTTGTATAGAAAAATATAGAATCTTGGCATTTAATACGTTGAAAGCACTATAACATTATGTAACACCTATATAAATGTATAGTCGAATGAGGATTTATTTCTTAAATGATTTAAAAATATAACAAACCCAAAGTTGTCTAGGGGCACACAGCGTAGCAGTAGTGTGGTGTTAGACGCTAGCATCCCATGGTCTGATGGTACCAATGTCACATTCCATGAGTTGACAGTATTCGGTTCTATTGTACATACTTGTGGCTCCACCTGTGGAACAATACGAAATAATAAAAAAAATCCGGCTCAAAGGACCATTTTATTTACAAGAATCAGATTCGTAATCTTTTTTTAATATAGAACAAGTGGACATCTCAGCTGTTAGAAAATAGGAGTAGTCACCTATGCACATGAACAGCGCCATGAATAGTATAGAATAAAAACCCTTTTTACCCCATATATCCATTATTCGTTACCAAAAACGTTAAGACAAGATATTTTACCAGAGGGAGACTTTGTACAAAAATCGATTGCTTTAGTACCTCTGTCCCATTCGTGTTTCTACCGTGAAGCAGTTGTGTTTGCATGGCTGTGTTTCGGTTTGAAGAATGGAATATGGCGTGAATTTAAAGGGTACAGAGGAATAACATCTGAGTCCTCAGGAATGGCAACGCATGGGGGATATCATGGGCGAAACAGTATACTCTGTTATGTCCATGGTACTGCTCATGTCTATAGGCGACGGTTACCACTTTCCATCAGGTGGGCCGTCAGTTTGTTTGCCATTCTAAGTTGTATAAAAAAAAAAGGACAAGGATTTACTTCAGTACTTACCCTGTAATTTTACTGCATTAAGAACCTTCAAACTAAGATACAGTTATACAAGAACAGCTGCGACATAAAGCGACATTTTGAGCTTTCCTCTCCTTAGCTGATTTACTTACACCAATATAGTATATATTGTTATTTATTCTTCCATTAATTATTTTATACAATAAATTTTATTAATTTTATGTATCGATTTATGTTGTATATATATATATATATATATATATATATATATATATATATATATATATATATATATATATATATATATATATATATATATATATATATTTATTATATATTATGTGTATATTAGTCTATTTATATGTTTATATTATATAAATATATCAAGTACTGCTTTATTTTTACTCTATTCAATAATGCACCGCCTACTTATTTTTCAGTTTACCTAATGGTTATTATTATGGTAGAGAACACTGACCGCCATGTGTACATAGAATTTTACTGTGCATTAAAGTAATATACATATGTATATAGCACTTTAGCTGCCCGCTAACGACATACTTTCTTACTGTACTGGGTTAACTGGAAGAGATCTCTGTCAGAGATAAGTCCATCCTTGCTCACAACATTTATAAATGCATTAACAATGTAATTTACATTTTAATATATATATCTTTATATATCTTACCATAATCTTAATGTAATAATTATAAAATTAGGTTTATGTTCAGCAGTGAATAGTTAAAGGCTGATATGATGACGATGATGATATATAGGAATTAAGGGGCAGTATACTCTGTTATGTCCATGGTACTGCTCATGTCTATAGGCGACGGTTACCACTTTCCATCAGGTGGGCCGACAGCTTGTTTGCCATTCTAAGTTGTAAAAAAAAATACTATGATAATTTTACATTATAATCGGAAATTACTAAATCGGAAATTACTCAAACGTATGTTCAAATGTTATTCAATTCACGTCAGATAGTTTGACTCTGCCGACAACGATAAATCTCGTTTGAATCTCCCTAATAAATCTCTTTACTGGCGCGAACCCACGGAGTCTACTCGTATTTTGTATGTATGTATGTATGCGATGCAATTGAAATTAATGTGCCAATTGAACATGTTGACTCCATCCACATAATGGTCATAAATCCTCGTTTCGTCAACTAAATTCTATATAATTATATAAAACTGGTTGATGATTGATGAACAATATACAAAAATACATCATTTGACCATAGATTATATAGAAAAAATGTTTCAAGGATTTGTACTTCGAGAAAAGCGGGTCAATTTTTTCATACAATTTTGCTTGATAAATTAGCTATGAGTGATTCTTTTATAATTTCTATATTTGTATTGTTTTATATTTTTTGCATCTATTTAATGCGTAAAAATTTATTTTATTTATTAAAAAATTAAATATAGATTCGTCAATCAAAATACAGTATGTGCGTAAGTATATAGAACACTGATTAATAAACGAGTCAGTTAATTTGACAAATAGCTGACACAAAGTTGACCCGTTTTGGAGACTCGATGCTCCGATATAATCTAAGCATGTAACATATAATATCAATAATAGAGCCTGAAATCTTGTCTAAAATTATGTTATATGGGAATACTTTAAAAATAGTAAATTGAAATATTTTAGACATATTTTAACAGAATATCGGAGAGATGATAGCGATCTGGAGAGACAAAGGCGTAACATTGCATGTAGAAGCAATATGCTGACTAGACGATTTAACCACTGTTCGAAGCTAGTCAAATTGACATTGTTTAAGTCCTATTGTCAGGCTTTCTACACCAGTCTATTATGGTATAGTTACACAAAGAGAGCTTATAACACACTTCGTGTACAATACAATAACGCATTCCGAGCGACGCTTAACTTGCTATGGCGGTGTAGTGCATCTGGCATGTTCGCAGAGAACAGGGTTAATGATTTCTTTGCTATTTCACGTGAATGTAAAAAAAAATTTCATGAAATATTTGTAGTTGTTTGGACGAAATAAGTAACAACCAACTTGATTATATTATTGATTTTCATATAATGAGAGAATGACAGCAGAAATGAATGTGAGAAGTAAACGTCGCTGTCATGTCTGTACGTCCAGTGCGAAAGATAGAAAGAGGTGAAATATCTATGTACAATTAAATTAACCTACTTGATGGAGAAGAAAGTAATGATGTTGACAAGTGGCTATGAGATGAATACTTACAATTTTTTTTTTTTTATACAACTTAGAATGGCAAACAAGCTGACGGCCCACCTGATGGAAAGTGGTAACCGTCGCCTATAGACACGAGCAGTACCATGGACATAACAGAGTATACTGTTAATACAATATTTATTTACAGACGCCACATATTAATGACAATAAGTAATCCTATTGTTAAGACAGTACTCCACGCTACGTACCTGATGACCAAAGAGTTTATAATGAAATTGATATTTTATTAATTAATGCTTGTACAATGCTATGTAAAATTTGTAATTAATTAAATTTAAATTATTATGGTTATGAATGTATACTATGGGTATATAATACTATGGAAATAAAAAGATTTGTGGTTATTATTATAAATAAAATTGCATTGCAATATTTGTCACTGGTTATACCACAGCGAATAAAAATAACAATTTCATTAAATGAATAAATATAGTAAAAATTTCCACACCAAACTAGACTGTGATCATTAAAAAATGAACACAAGTCATTAGCCAGAAGATCCAAAAATAAAAATACTTACATAAAACTGTCGAACATGAACAAACGCGTGAAGGCACATCGAAGAAACGTAAGTAAAGACGGAATGGAAGCTGCTCTTGTAAATGTTCTGCAATAAGATTAAATAGAAACATTATGCCTTATGCTATATTAATATTATTTTTTATGCAACTTAGAACGGCAAACCATCTGATGAAAAGTGGTAACCGTCTCCTATAGACATGAGCAGTGCCATGGACACAACAGAGTATACTGTTTCGCCCATGATACCCCCCATGCGTTGCCATTCCGGACGAGGACTTCCTGCGAGGACTTCCTGCGAGGACTCAGGTGTTATTACCCTCTGTACCCTGGTTTACCTCGGTTCGAAGCGTGGGATACGACAGTGAGTTTACAGGATATGGGGGCACGTTAATCCTCAGGAATATTACTGCATATTGGGTAACAAGTGCATCCCCGTGTATACTGTGATATTTGTGGTGCTGTTCACGTTCTATAGATAACAGTTACCATTATCCATCGAGTGGACTGTAAGCTTGTTTGCCCTTGTAAATTATGTTATAATATATGTAGGACTTTGGCTATCAATTCTCTCTGCCTACCCCGCAAGGGAGTTGGCGTGATAATAGATAGATATAGTATATATTTCATATAAAAAATTACCATGTTCGCGTATAATATACGCGTGCACATCGAGACGTGATCTCGATGTGTTGCGTGCACGCACGGTACGATGTGCATCCGATGCAGACATCCTGCGAATAGAAACGAGTCTGTTGTAAAAACACTAAAAACTGAAATTAATTTGAGCAAATTTTTTTGGAGCTTAAACTAAATTGAGCATAACAAGTGCACAAACACATTTTAATACGATTTTTAAAGTTACCGAAACACTTTCTTTTTATAAATTTTAACACATTTCTTTATTAAAATACAACAAGATGCACATTTTTTAGTGTTGCTAGTAAATAGATTAAAAAAATCTCAGATCAGGTCGATGTCTTAAATCTGAATTGGGTACATTTTTCTAAATATACATATATAATTTATTTAATATACTAAGTAATAAATGTATATTATGGTAACTCTATTTACACACACACGCACGCACGCACGCACGCACGCACGCACGCACGCACGCACGCACGCACGCACGCACGCACGCACGCACGCACGCACGCTCGCACGCACGCACGCACACACACACACACACACACACACACACACACACACACACACACAGATAAAAAAGTTAACATAGTTTTTGTTGAAACATTTATATGAACACACTGCATCTATTATATATAATGTAAATTAATAACAAACATATAATAAAATAAACGCTACCATAAATCATCATTATCTGTCCATTGCTGGACATAGACCTCCCACATAAACTGCCATAAGGAACGGTCCTGAGTCACCTGCATCCACTGAATCCCTGCAATGCATTTCAAGTCGTCACTCCATCTAGTGGGGGAAGGTTGTTCTACACTGCGTTTGCTTGAAGGAGGTCACCATTCAATAACCTTTATTTTCTCATCGGTTGTCGGTTCTTCGAGCTATGTATCCAGCCCATTGCCACTTTAGCTAGCTTATCCTTCGGGCTATGTCAGTTACTTTAGTTCCTTTGCGGATATCCTCGTTTCGGATTCTATTACGCAAACTCTAAAACGCAAGAATCCGAGCATAGCCCTCTCCATAACCCGCTGAGTAACTTGCAGCCTTTTGCATACGGGCAATCAGGTATATCTGTCTATTCACTATATGGATAATCTGGTAGTATTGTTTTATTGTTACCCTATTCCCTTTGGCCGCAACAGAATATCAGTACTTTGCTGTTTTGAGGGCGAAGCAATAAACTGAGTTGTGACCATTTTGTATTGTTATGGCACACGCACAAAGGAAAAATTGTATTTAGCTTTATGTATTTTTTTTTTCAATCATTTATATTATCTCGTTTTTTATGTATATCAATATATGTTGTAATTTGCGTGCTGTAAGTAATGCAAATAAATTATCTATCTGTCTATCTATCTAGGGCCATGTTTCGGTTCCATAAATCATCGCTGGCAACACGCACTGGTTAAAGGCCTTCGTCTTCAAACTCTGATGTTTTTTTCTTGTCCATTTTTTTTATACAACTTAGAATGGCAAACAAGCTGACGGCCCACCTGATGGAAAGTGGTAACCGTCGCCTATAGACATGAGCAGTACCATGGACATAACAGAGTATACTGTTTCGCCCATGACACCCCCCATGCGTTGCCATTCCTGAGGACTCAGATGTTATTTTTCTGTACCCTGTAAATTCACGCCATATCCCAGCCTTCAAACCGAAACACAGCTATGCAAACACAACTGCTGCACGGTTAAAACACGAATGGGACAGAGGTACCCATGCAATCGACTTTTGTACAAAGTCTCCCTCTGGTAATGTGATCTAGTGATGTATTTTGAATTAAAAGATGTGACGCTGTTCTATTACCTTAGATACCGCTAAATTATAAACAATACTTTATACTAGTCAAACATTAATTCTACATCAATTGAAGCCTCCGATTTTCTTTTTGCTCCAAAATAAACTTTTCAAATCATAATACCCTGATTTTTATACCATTTGGCCTCCGGATTTGCATCATCCTAATTACATTAATGAAATCGTGAGCTAATTAGTATTACGAAGTCAATACCTTCGGATTCTGGTTAAGCTTGCCTCGACAGGACCCTTTACTAATTGATTACATTTTAACAGCGCTCGATAGATTCGGTGAATTGATTCATGAACATCAGTATCTATTCGTGAATAAATAAACCAGTTGCTTCTTGACTTCGACGGACGTCAATTGTATTTATGTTGAGTTGAAAGTGAAAGAACTCGTTTTCATTTATAGATAAAAAAGAAAACTTTTATTCGACTCTGTATTAATTTATTTTGTATATTTATTGGTGTGTTCGCCGTGTAGTCAACAATATCATGTTTGATGTCAGAACAAATCTATGTTTGCAAATTTCAATTACCAATAAACTATGTATATATATACCGTTGAGAAAGATTGGTTCTTGAGTGGCAACCTCGTACAGTCAAACGCAGTGTAGGATGACCCCCACTAGATGGAGTAACGACCTCAAATGCATTGCAGGGAGTCAGTAGATGAAGGTGGCTCAGGACCGTTTCCTATGGCGGTCCATGGGAGAGGCCTATATCCAGAATTTGTACAAACTTGGCTCACCAAATCATAATAAAATGTATTGTAATAAATCATATACTATTTACGATGAGGACATAAACTACTTTTTATCCTAGTCAATGACCATGATGTCAATGATGATGAATATATCGATCAAATCGATCAAGTCGACAAAGTCACGAAGTATACTCTAATAGCATTGTAAGTACTCGTGAAGGCAACATATGTAAGTATATAACGAGTTAAGATCAATTAGGCGGCATATCCCTATGTAGACGTAGGTACCTAGAATAAATTATACAGTACCCAGTGCCGTATTTGGGCATAGGCTACATAGGCTATAGCCTAGGGCCCCCACTATAAATAGACTCTTACTACAAATGAGCAAAATTGATTAAAAAATTAGATAAATCGATAGATGGCGTGAATTTATTGGGTACAGAGGAATAACACCTGAGTCCTCAGGAATGACAACGCATGGGGGGTATCATGGGCGAAACAGTATACTCTGTTATGTCCATGGTACTGCTTATGTCTATAGGCGACGATTACCACTTTCCATCAGGTGGGCCGTCTGCTTGTTTGCCGTTGTAAGTTGTATAAAAAAAAGATACTCTTTATTGTTTCCTCCAAAAGATTACAATAGTAAAATTATTATAAATATAAACAATTACAAGAAATAATCACAATGAGAAAACAATGGGCGACCTTATCGCTAAAAGCGATCTCTTCCAGGCAACCTTTGGATGGAGAGGAGTAATTGTAAACAATTTGATCGGAGGCACGATGAAATTCTAAACAAATTAGGTAAATGGAAATGAGGGAACTCAATTATCTACTAATGTGTGCGGATATTTTATTACTAGCAACACTGTCTCTATAGCAGATATGTCTTTTTTACCAGAGGGAGACTTTGTTTGACAAAAGTCGATTGCTTGGGTACCTCTGTCCCATTCGTGTTTCAACCGTGAAGCAGTTGTATTTGCATCGCTGTGTTTCGGTTTGAAGGGTGGGATATGGCGTGAATTTACTGGGTACAGAGGAATAACACCTGAGTCCTCAGGAATGGCAACGCATGGGGGGTATCATGGGCGAAACAGTATACTCTGTTATGTTCATGGTACTGCTCATGTCTATAGGCGACGGTTACCACTTTCCATCAGGTGGGCCGTCAGCTTGTTTGCCATTCTAAGTTGTATAAAAAAAAAGCTGAGAATGCCCCTTAGTCATTTCACGTGTAATTTAATAAAAAGTATTGAATAATCTCATAATACATTTTACTTTCATCTCATCAATTCAATTGAATTATAAATAGTGTTTAATTAAAAAAAAAATAATAGAAAATTAATTCGTAACTCTAATATTAAATATTGTAATACAATAATCTATTTTATGCGTAAAACAAGACCCCCACCGCAGATGTAGCCCGGGGGCCCACAGACCCTAATGCGGCAGTGACGGTACCCATTCATGTTCTAATCCTCGTCAGGCATGAAGAGGTATTAGTGGCGCCGACAGGTACAATGTTTGGATTGCTATATCTTACTTTACATTTATTTATACAGTCAAATTTGTTGCAAATCGTAAGAGATGAGTATTAACTATCTGTTACAAATAGAGATTTTGTTTAAAAGTACTCTGCTTGGATATCTCTGTTCTATTCGTGTATCTGCCGTGCAGCAGTATTTTTATGACTCCGTTTCGGTTTGAAGGGTGATATGTGGTAATGAAATTACAGGGTACAGTGGCGTAAAATCTCAGTCCGGAGGTAAAGGGACTGTTAGCAATGGGTTCCAACCCTGTCAGGTCGACCTCCACGTGGTTCCCCCTGAAAATCATCGTGGTTAATTCTTGTTCTTTTTTTAAATCTTTACGATGAGCCAATTGACCTACATCGTCACCTATCTATCATTTATCACCGCTATTTAGCCCCGCCAGCATATACCGATAGCGCAAATAGGCTAACCATTCTATTATCACCCATTAAAAAAAACTCCTTAGTCTGGGGGAAAGAGATTGTAAGTAATCGGATCGAATTTCCTCATTACCATCAATACACAGGTCGGTCTCTACGCAGTTAACCTTGAAAATTACCGTGGTTAATTCTTGTGGAATTCGTCACGATGGGCTAACTAAACTATATATTCTCACTGGTACCCTGCCAGTGTATATCGATAGCGCAGGCGGGGTTACCATTTCATTATCATCTAATAAAAAAAATATCAGCTTTGTCAACATAGAAATATGTTTATATTTCAACCGACAAAAAGAGTGAGGTTCTCAGTTCGGTTGTATTTTTTATATGTTTGTCACCTCATAACTCCGTCAGTTGTAAACCGATTTGGAAAAATCTTTTTTCTTTTATCTACAATAATATACTTACAGATTGGTCCCATAGAAATTTTATCAAAATTGAACTTTAAATCGTTTAATTTAAGACCAAAATAACTGGTTTTGTTACAATTGAAGCCGGTGTTTCTTTTTTTTTGTGCGAAACAATTTTAAATACATTCACAAAAAAAAAAACAAAACAAAATTTTGCTTTATAAAAAAAATCAATCTTAATATGAAACCCACACTGGTGCAAGGTATTTCAATTAAAACAATAGAATCGTGGGATTCGTTTCATTCGAGGTCATAGGATGGGAAATACAGTTGTATTGAGCAGCTTCTTGTTAAAGTCGGTTATAAAAGAACCCTCGGCTTTGTCGCCTTTTATTCCCCGTCCCTGTGGTTAATGCTGGAATTCCTCGCCTTTGAACCTTGTGTTAAATATACCCTTTTGACCGTTTCCAGGGGCAGCGTATTGTTCGACTGTCTCTCTGCGGTCGCCCCGTCAGAAAGCATTTTCAATGTTTTTGCCTGTACTTTTAAAAATGTATTTATTTATAGGATCACCAAAAACATGAGAGATACAGCGAAGCATTTCAATACGAACATCATACAATACACTAGTGAATCAGATCAAATAGTTTCTATTTTTAAATGTAATCGCAGCATCCTTTATGTTTGAGAAACATTAAGTGTAGTTATTTATAGTAATATACCATAAATAGTTTACAATGTTTACAAAGACAAAGGAATAAAAATAATAAATAAATAAAAATGTTTATTTGGGAACCTTAGCTTAATTTACAGTTTTCTTATTAGGATCGATAATAACTGCATTAGTCACAAAGAGACTGTGCCGCAGCTATTAACGCCCGCTCCATAACATTGGGTACATTTGTGTGCATGTTCGTGTGCGTGTGCGCGTGCGTGTGCGTGTGTGTGTGCGTGTGCGTGTGCGTGTGCGTGTGCGCGTGCGTTTGCGCGTGCGTGTGTGTGTGTGTGTGTGTGTGCGTGTGCGTGTGCGTGTGCGTGTGCGTGTGCGTGTGCGTGTGCGTGTGCGTGTGCGTGTGCGTGTGCGTGTGCGTGTGCGTGTGCGTGTGCGTGTGCGTGTGCGTGTGCGTGTGTGTGCGTGTGCGTGTGTGTGTGTGTGTGTGTATGTGCATATTTAAATTTAACCATTAAACCTTGATCAATGACTCGACATCATCATATTCAAAAGTCATTAGCCAATTAATCAATTCCATTTTGCAATCACGTAAATATATATGTAATCTTAACATATTATACATTGTACATACCAATCCATTCGATATACCTTACATCCATACTTTACGCACACAAACATACTACTCGTTGTCACCTAATGTATAGTTTAACCTTATAAGTACTAGTAAAAAGGCTTATTACTGTACTTTGTGGATGAGTGCGTGCGTGCGTGCGTGAGTGCGTGCATGCGTGCATGTGTGTAGATTTATTGTTATTTACATATGTAGATGTATACAGTCACTTTATATTGTATTATATTTTCAATTTTATTTAGGTATTATTAAGCTTTATCCTTAGCTGTACGGTTTTTACCCTTGAACGATCTATAGTTCAAATCAAATTATATTTTAAAGGGTGGGATATGGCGTGAATTTACAGGGTACAGAGGAATAACACCTGAGTCCTCAGGTATGGCAACGCATGGAGGGTATCATGAGCGAAACAGTATACTCTGTTATGTCCATGGTACTACTCATGTTTATAGGCGACGGTTACCAGATTCCATCAGGTGGACTGTCAGCTTGTTTGCTATTCTAAGTTATATAAAAAACTCATCGATTCACATATTTATTATACTAACAACCAGTACTTAAAAATACATCACGTCCCATCTTTGTAGTCGACAAAATGAAATCAAAATTAATTTATCTATTTTCCAAGGCGAGTAAACAATTCCAGATCTAAATAAAACACGCCCACCCATCGCTAAAGCCAAACAAAACAAAAGTTGTATAAATTGATAATGTTTGTCCGATAAATGGGAGATCCATTGATATACAATGTAGTTTTAGATGCATAATCAAAAACTAAGAAATCCCACTGAAAGTAGATCACAGTCAAGTAGATTTTACACTCATTTTGAAGCATCCAGTGAGGTTTGTGCAGAAATATTTCTATAAAAGTTATTTAAAATATTATTTTTTAACCGTGACTTCGCTCTTTTGACAGGAATATGTGATTGACCGGGAGGAAAAGTAGTCTCTCCTTTAGTAACTCCTTTTCCATGCCAAATAGTACATGTATACGTACTATTTTTTTAGGAGTTAATGGTGCTTTGTTTAGGCATCCCGTCCTCGCTGATAGATACGGGGGACGAGATGTCTTTTTTGATGAATGCATTATTTTAATTGGGGCACAATACTGTTGTTAGGGGAGCATACTTGAAAAATGGATGACTGGGGACTGCATTATACGTACTGTTTACGTACTTACTTTCACATTGGTAATACAATAAGAATAACAACTCCTAATAAAGTGCAGACATGGAATTTTATTATTTACGGTAAGTATTTGACTGTAAGTATTTTGCCGTATGGTCCCGGCATAGAAAGGACTACTCCTTCCTTTCATGTGGATGTCGTAAGAGGCGATTAAAGGAAATTATCGAGGAATGGACAGCAGCGTCCTTCTTAGAACATTACCAAAGCCTAACTGCGGTTGCCAACCCGCCTGCCAAGCGCGCAACTACTGGCAAACCCCCTCTTATGAGGGAAGTCTATAGTAAACAGTGGACAGTTAACGGTTAATATAAAAATGATAATGGCGACTTTACTCGTGTCTTATCATAGTTGTGTGTTCGCATATAAAAATGTACCTTCTGTATAGGAGCGTGTATCTTTCGTTTTTTTCATATCAATGGTGAGAGCTTATTAAATTTTATGGTAGCGTTATCTAAACAAGTTAAGATTATAACATGGAGGTATTTATATTCTGGACATTTAATTTAAAATTGATTGTTTATTATAACGATCCAATAAAATCTCCCTGTTGACAGTAGATTGCTCCCTTTATTGATATTAGCCAATTAACACGACGCTGGCCAGATGGCCTGTTCTTTATCAAAAAGAAAAAGTTATGTAATACGTACACATATAATCGATTATATAGAGTACAGAAACCTCATTTTTTTTATATACCACAAAGGTGGCAATCAAGCAGACGGCCCACCTGATGGTAAGTGGTTACCATAACCTATGAAGCCTGCAATACCGGGGTAATGCAGGGGTATTACGCGCACTTTGCAGACCCTGAAGAACTAGACCAAAAAAAAAACAGAAAATCCAGAGTGATCGTGGGAGAAAACCATTTAGGCTGTAGGATATGAGGATGAACTCCCTGTCGACGGCGAGCTGCACGATGGTAAAAAGTAGCCGTGGGCATCATATTGAACAAGTTCTCTGAGCACAATCCGCTGTACAAACGGTACAACACGCAGAGTGAGGCAAACTCTCATTCTTCAGAAATGGTAACGCATGTGGAGTATCATAGGTGTCACAGTGTATTCTAAACAGTACTTGCGCTGTTCTTACTACGGGTGACGGTTAACACACACAGGTGGACCGTCATATTATTCATTATCATATCTGCCCTTAACTGTCGGGGGGAAAGGGATTATTAGTAATGGAGACTGAGAATCCCATTGCTAGCAATATACCCAACCAGGTCGACCTCCTCGCGGTTCTCCCTGGAAACTATCATAGTAAATTCCTGATGAATTCATCATGATGTGCTAACTGGCCTGTTTTCATTCTCATCTATCACCCTTTACTGGTGCTCCGCCAGCGTATCCCGTTAGCGCAGGCGGGGTTACCATACCATTTTCACCCATCAAAAAAGCCCTTAACTGTCCATTGCTGAATATAAGCTTCTCCCTTGAGGGTTGTGCTAATAATTACCACGCTTAGTAGGCGGATTGGCAACCGCAGTCAGGAGTTTGGAGATGTTTTAAGAGGTACGCTGCTACCCACCCCTAGTCTTCCATTAGTCGCCTCTTACGACACCCACGGGAATGGAAGGGATGGCCCATTCTATGCCGGGACCACATGGCAATTTCGGCTTGTTAACCATTCTAAGTTCCGCACTTAAAAAATCTTCACTTAAATCAATTCACATATCGAATAGTATGTTAAAAGGTTGGTCTAACCATAGAGTGGGTGATTCGTCGTCTGGCTGCTTGATGGAGAAATGCAGCGGTGCTCCAACTGCTTCCACCCACACATCTATTATAATAGGCTCCAAATGTTCAATCTGTAAAGGATTAATAATTGTATTGTTTTAAAATAAAAAAAAAATGAAATGGTAAATCTCGCCTGCGCTATCAGGCTACCCATGAGTAACAAAAGATGATGGGTGAAAATAGTATGGTAACCCCGCCTGCGCTAACGGGATACGCTGGCGGAACACCAGTGAAGGGTGATCGATGAGAATGAAAAAATGGTTGGGTATATTGCTAGCAATGGGATTTTTAGTCTCCATTACTAACAGTCTCTTTCTTCCTGACAAAAGATGAGGATGAACTCAGGTTGGCCGTGATGAATTCACTGAGAATGGACAAAGATAGCTTCTAGGTTGAACCGCATTGATAAGGATATTTATGTTGCTAGCAATAGAGACTTTATTGCTAACAATTTCAACTCCCTAAGTACTAGTAACTGTATTCTATAAAATTCTTTACAAGAATTAGTTAAAAAAGTATTCCATGCGGTTAGGAAGGAAGGAGATTCCCTTCTGGTATAATTGGGAGTGGCATAGTGTAATAACATATTTTATGACAATTTATAAATTTTTTTAAGCACTAATAGGTAATGAAATGAAATGAATTTATTTTACTAGAATGTAGGTAATAAATAAACTTATATTACAGGTCTATTGACCAATATTATTATATTGGTATGAAGTAAAACTCGTCATCAATCTTCATGACTTCGTCCGCGATGTGTAACCTACATGGGTAATAATTGAAGATTGTATCTGTGGTCAGATGATACCTACTCACAGATGTTTATTATCAATATCAACTTTTATAATATAATTGAAATTTAAAAACAAACAGACAAACAAACATTTTGTTTTATATATATATATATATATATATATATATATATATATATATATATATATATATATATATATATATATATATATATATATGTGTGTGTTTATTTATGTATGTGTATATGACTATGTTGTCACAGATATTATTTTTTACAGATCTTTTTCTTTTAACCTACCTACTTATGCTTTAATTCCTTCTACTCAAAGGTTGTCTGGAAGAGATTGCTTAGCAATAAGACCGCCTTTTGTACTACACTATACGCATTGGAAATTGTTCAACAAATCCTGTTATGTTGGTGCAATAAAGTGTTAAATAAATAAATATATATATTTATATCATGACGCTTGGTCACGGGACTCACTCGCAAGATGCGCCCGCAGGTCGCGCAGGCGGTTTGTGATTGTTGGCTGCGCGCGCATCCCGCGCACGGGCCAGCGACTAGATAAAGTGTTTTGTTGACTTGGTCGATTCAAAATTTATTTGTTTTATTGTAAAATAATTATTGTATTTTAATAATTGATTAAATATATTTATAAGATTAACCCTACAATCAATCCTACATATCCCACAAAAAAAAAACACTCTAATTGTGACAAATATTGATTGAAAAATTAAAATAGTGATCAGATTTTAATAAAATTTCTATTGGCTAATTTGTAAGTATATCATTTCTACCGTGAAGCAATTGTTTGCATGGCTGTGTTTCGGTTTGAAGGGTGGGATATGGCAGTGAATTTACAGGGTACAGAGGAATAACACCTGAGTCCTCAGGAATGGCAACGCATGGGGGGTATCATGGGTGAAACAGTACACTCTGTTATGTGCATGGTACTGCTCATGTCTATAGGCGACGGTTACCACTTTCCATCAGGTGGGCGGTCAGCTTGTTTGGCATTCTAAGTTGCATAAATAAAAAAAATTCAATTAAAAAAGAATTTTCCGAATCTGTTTTGAAATAACTGACATCGATTGTGACAAAACCAGTTGTTTTGATCTAAAAATTAAACTAGTGATCACATTTTAACAAAATTTCTATGAGACATATTTATTAATATATCCTTTCAGATATAAAAAAAGGAATTTTGTACATCGGTTTAAAAGTAACGAAGTTATGAGGTAAAAAACACGAAGAAAACTACAATCGATTTTAAAATCTTCTTTTTTTCTAGTTGATTGAAAATAGGCTCATAATACTTAGGTTATGGAATGAGCTCCCTGCCGAGGTTTTCCCAAGAGAATATAACATGGGGTCCTTCAAAATGGGGGTAAAGAGGTTTCTTCAGGGTCGGCAACGCGCGCATAATACCTTTGGTATTGCAGGCGTTCGTAGGCTACGATAACCGCTTACCATCAGGTGGGCCGTACCTATGCTTGTTTGCCACCTCACTGGTATTCTATTCTATTCTATATAAAAAAAGACAATATCCTTCTTCCATCCCAAATAACATCTACTTCTATACCAAATTTTATTACGACTGGTTGAGCCGTTAAGACGCCAAGTGGCAACATACAAACCCACATTCTCATTTGTAATAATACTAAGTATTTCACATAATACCTACGCTGACAATAAACTTGATAAATGAAGTCTGAAACTTCATTTAACTTAATATATTGCAGGGCGCGTTAGCTCAATCGTGATTTATAGTGGACGCTTTAACAGAAATGAAACTGTTACAGAGAGAAAACTAAAATGGAACCAATGAAATTAAACTGAAATATATTTCTACAATTGGCTAAGTGCTATGTCGACACAAAACAAGTTTTTTCCCCCAAAATAGAAATAAAATGCTTTCTTTTTCTTATACAACTTAGAATGGCAAACAAACTGACGGCCCACCTGATGGAAAATAGCAACCGTCGTCTATAGACATGAGCAGTACCATGGATATAACAGAGTATACTGTTTCGCCCATTATACCCCTCATGCGTTGCCATTCCTGAGGACACAGGTGTTATTCCTTTGTACCCAGTAAATTCACGCTATATCCCACTCTTCAAACCGAAACACAGCCATGCAAACACAACTGCTTCACGGTTGAAACACGAATGGGACAGAGGTGAACAAGCGATCGACTTTTGTACAAAGTCTCCCTTCTCACTGTATTAGGTTGACTGGAAGAGATCTCTGTCAGAGATAAGTCCACCCTTGCTCACAATATTTATAAATGCATTAGCAATGTAATTTACAAGTGCAGTAAAGAATATATGTATATAAAACCGATCAAATGTGAGTTGAACTCACACAACCGAGGGTGCTGTATGTAAAATAACCACAAGACTTTTATTGGGTTAAGATTTATTTAAATTAATCATACATGAGATTATTAAAAGTAAAAGTAAAAGGCCAAATTAAAAGTGCCCGTAACCGGCGAGCGTGTATGAAAAGATTGATGAATGTGGAAGATGCGAAAGAGGTTTGTTTGAATCGAAGCGTTTGGCGTTCCATTGTTTCTGCCTACCCTAATGGGAGACAGGCGTGACAGATATGTATGTATGTATGAGATTATTATTTTCCGTGTGGTCCCGGCATAGAATAGGCCAACCCTTCCTGTCCAGTGGGTGTTTTAAGAGGCGACTAACCGAGGGATGGGCAGCAGCGTTTCTTTTAATACATCTCCAGAGCCTAACTGCGGTTGCCAATCCGCCTGCCAAGCGTGGCGACTACTGGCAAAACCCCCTTAGAGGGAGACTTATGTTCAGCACTTGAAATGATAAAGATGATATTATTATTTGAATATGTAGATATTAAAATTTCCTAATAATTTTATAGTGGGGGGAAGGGATTGTTAGTAATGCGGACTATCACTCCCATTGCTAGCAATAGGGTGTATATCAGGTCGACTACCACGTGGTTCCCCCTGGAAACCATCGTGCTAAATTCCAGGTGTATTCATCACGTTGGGTTAACTGACCGGCTTTTTTATTCTCACCTATCATCTGTCACTGGTGCCCCGCTAACGTATACCGTTATCGCAGAAGGGGTTACCATTTCATTATTATCCATTTGAAAAAAAAATGTATACACCTATCCCCCGATTTACACGGTAGATACGTTCCTGAGAAAAACGTGTAAATCGAAAATTAAAAATTTTCAAGTCAAAACCGTGTAAATCGAAAAGCTTGCAGAAAACGCATAATTTTGCTATTTAACAGTTGTGATTTTTTTCAATATTTTTAGGTGTACACAGAAATAAAAATAAATGCATTGACAGGTTAAAATATGTAATATATTACGGAAACACCGTTTTTTTATTTAATTACAATACATTAAACGATCCAAAGCGATCCAAAATTTCGATTTTAGCATTTAGTAGAGTGCGATAAAAACAAAAAAAAAAACTTATTTGGAAAACCGTGTAAAAGCGAAAACGTGTAAAACAAGTACCGTGTAAATCGGGGGATAGGTGTAGTACTAATCATTAAAAATATTTCAAGGCAATATTTATAGTTACAACCCAAACTCTTTTTTTTTTTTAATAATTACCACAACAATATATGTGAGAAATAAAGTCGTACCTACCGGTTCTTCTGTACCATATTAGGCCGAAATATAAAAAAAGAAATAATATAAATCAGCAATTGTAATTCCAAGAAAAACTAATATAGTCCTGTAACGTTCACCAATAGTATAAAAATACGTTATTTCTTAGTGATAAATTCTGAAACTTGATATTTTTATATAGCTCTCAGTAACTTATAATTTCCCTGAATATTCCTACAGTATTCGTAAACTGAGGGCCTACAATGAAATATTTTCCGAAATTTCGGGCACGAACGAAACATAAATTTGATGTTAAAATTACATAATACATGTCGTTTAAAATTATTAAAAATGTTAAAATATCGTTTCTCTAAATATCATTTATTTATGATGAACGAAATGTTAAGCTTCATTTACTGGGTCGATTTTGGTACGAACAAAAACACGAAATTGAGCCCGAAAATTCGGTTTTTCGTTTCATGGTAGACCACCTGTTCATATAAAAATTGTTTCTTACGGCAGTGAACAAATAAAATAGCATGTTACAAACCCATATTGGGCTTTACACGAAGGCACACACAAAATGTTATTAAAGGAAATAGATACTAAAGTTTTTATGGTTTCATCTAAAAACATACAACCTTCATCAGACTGTATATATATATATATATATATATATATATATATATATATATATATATATATATT